CCCAACCCCTGCTCCCACAGTCAGTTCCCACTCTGTTGTCCATGTCCATGGGTCTAGTCCCTTCCCCTTCTTTCCACCATTATCCTCTTTCCCCATCCCCCCTGGTCACTTGGAGTCTGCTCCATGATTCTATGCTGTGGGGTTTTTTTTGTTTGTTAGTTTATTTTGTTGATAGAGTCCACTTATAAGTGAGATCATATGGTATTTGTCTTTCACCAACCGGCTTATTTCATTTAGCATAATATTCTCCAGTTCATCCATGTTGTCACAAAAGATAGGAGTTCCATCTCTCTCTCTCTCTCTCTCTCTCTCTCTCTCTCTCAAATGCAGATTGATTTTATTTATTTTTTTAAATGTCAAAGTTAATTATAAAATATTAAAAAATTTAAAACCGTTATAAAGTCTTGGCAATTAAACCAACATGACACCAGAATGGAAATAACCAAGTAGATCAGTGAAATATAGTGAGCATTCTAGCGACAAACGTATATATCTGTCTAACAATGTAATATATGATTAAGTTGATATTTCAAATCAATGGGTAAAATAATTCTTATTCAATAAATAAGGTGCATGGACCACTATTACTTGAACTAAAACAAATATAGAGCCTTGTTTCACGCCTTATACAAGAAATATTCAGGTGGTTAAAAATCAATATGTAGAATCTAAGGAGTTTTAGGAGAAAATACAAAATTATATTTTTCTTACCCTGAAGTAACATATTTGAGCCCAGAAGCTATAAAGCAAAATATTGACAATATGACTATAAAACATTTAAGACTGTGCAGTGACATATTTATAAAAAAAGTTAAAGGACAAGTAATAGAATAGGAAAGTATGTGCAACACATCTAAAAAGGGTTAATAGTTTTTGTTTGTTTTTTTTTTAGGGAAAAAAGTTCTACAAACATTTAATCAAAAAATGGATAAAGAATACCAAAAAGTCATTTAAAGCCTTTTAAAAACAATAGAAATAGGCAAGAAATATATAAAAACAGGTTTAGTATCAACAGATAATAAAGGAATAATTAAAATAACTTATCACTGTCACAATCAGATTACTAAGTATTAAAAAATATTGGTAATATCAAGTGTTGGCAGCTGTGAAAGGAACTGGGTATTCATAGACTCTTTTTCTTCATCTTAAAGCAGTCCCTTTAGCATATCTTGCAATGCTGGTTTGATGCAGGTATATTCTTTTAGCCTTATTTTGTCTGGGAAACTCCTTATTTCGCTTTCCATTTTAATTGAGAGCCTTGCTGGGTAGAGCAGTCTTGGTTTCAGGCCTTTGCTTTTTATGACTTGTATATTTCTTGCCATTCCCTTCTGGCTTGCAGTGTTCCTGTTGAGAAGTCAGCTGCTAGCCGTATTGGGGCTCCCTTATATGTTACTACCTCTTTCTCCTTTGCTTCCTTTAGGATTCTCTGTTTGTCTTTGATATTTGCCATTTTAATGATGATGTGTCTTGGAGTGGGCCTCTTTGAGTTCCTCTTGAATGGGACCTTCTGTGCTTCTTGGACTTACATGACTTTTTCTCTCCTCCAATTAGGGAAGTTTTCCATCATGACTTTTTCAAACAGGTTCTCTATCCCTTGCTCCTCTTCTTCTCCTTCTGGTATCGCTATTATACGGATATTATTACGTCTCAGGTTGTCCTTCATTTCCCCAAATGCCTCTTCATTCTTTTTGAGTCTTTTCATATTCTTGCTCTTTCTGGGATCTTTTCTCTACCTTGTGCTCCAGCTCACTGATTTGATCCTCAGCTTCATCTAGCCTGCTTTTGATTCCTTCTACTGTGTTCTTCAATTCAGAAATTGTATTCTTCATTTCCTCTTGTCTCTTATTGATAGTTTCTATGTCCTTTTTCATGTTGATATAGTTTGCAGTAAGTTCCTCGTAGTTTCCCTGGAGTTTTCTGTAATTCTCTCTGAGCTCACTGAGCTCATTGATCTTCCTTAGAACTGTTGTTTTGTACTCAATATCTGATAGTTTACCTGCCTCTATTTCATTTAGTTCTCTTTCTGGGGATTTCTCCTTTCACTTTGATGAGGGGGTATTTCTTTGTCTACCTATTATTTGTGAGACTCTTCTCTTTTGCTTCTGCTTCTTAAGTTGATGTGTCTTGATTTCCTCACTTTGTGGTGTGAACCTCTATGGTAGGAGAGTGCTGCTTTTACTTTCTGGATCTGCCTGTGATGATAGCAGATGTTGACCCTGCCTGACCTTAGGCAGTTTGTTCGAGACTTCCAGTAATCTACTGTCTGTGACTGTCTCCTTCAGTTGTTAATCTAGTCACTCTGCACTCAGCTGGCTGCCTTAGACAGCTCAGGGCAGGGCGGAGTTCCTCCTGGGGTGGGGTTATTGGGTTGTCTCTCTCGCTGCAGCCATATGGGGGAGGAGTCCGCACTGGGATCCCGCCGGCTACTCTCTCTGTTCTCTCCCCAAAGCCTCCATCCCCAGTCTCTCCTCAAATGACTCCAGACCTCTCTCTGCACCCCTGTTAGCCAGGGATCTACTGTCTGTGGCTGCCACTCTGCACTCAGCAGGCAGCTTAGACAGCATAGGGCGGGGTGGAATCCCACATGGGGGCGGGGCTATTAGATCCTCTGATGCTGTTGCCGCTCAAGGGGAGTGGTCTCTGCCTGAGCAAGATGGCTGCTGCCACATCGGGGATGAGTCAGCACAGAGATCTGACCAGCTACTCTCTCAGTTCTCTCCCCAAAGCCTCCTTCCCCAGTCTCTCCTCAGGTGTATCTAGCCCATTCTGTCTCCGCCTTTGCCGGAGACCAGGGTAAGTGGCTGCAAATAAAAATTTTGCATTGGCCCTTTAAAAGGCTCTTTGCATCTCCAGCCGCCTGTCTCTGGCAGAGAGCAACCCTGTGGTTTTTCGCAGTTGTCTGTTTTCTGTGTACTTTATGGGCTCTGGTGCTGTAGGCTAGAGATCCCCACTTTTGGTTTAGACTCTACTCTTCTCAGGGGGATCCAACTGGCCGTTTCAATATCCTCCTGGTGCTGCCGCCCATGGGTGCCACACTGGCCTTCTCAAGTCTGTACTGCACTCCTTACCAGTTAGATTGCACTAAAGCTGATTCTTCTGTCTCCGAGGTTACAGGTTCCTCTCTCACTATTGTTCCGTTGTTTGTTCCAGGTGATTTCTCCACAATTTAGTTGTTATTTCCGGTTGTTCTGGGAGGAGGTCAGTGTGACTTCCACTCACTCCTCCACCGTCTTGATTTTTTCATGATGGGTATATTTAACAGTGAATTAATTATACCCAGCTGAAGAAAGAATTAGTGAACTGGAAGATAGCCGAGAAGAAATCATCCAAAATGAAGCACAGAGAGCAAAAGATTAGAAAATGCACATGAAAGGCTCAGACAGAGAAGATACATTAGGAAAGCCATACACATATATAATTGGAGTAATACAAGGGAAGGAGAAAGAGAATGAGGCAGAAACGATATTCATAATGGCTGAGAATTTTTCAGAAATAGAAGAAACCAAATCACAGATTCTAGAAGGGTAGCAAATTCCAAGTAGGGTGTGCAAAGAAACCCATAACTAGGCATATTATGGTGAACCTGCACTATAATCAAAGATAAGGAGAAAATAATAAAAAGCAGCCTGAGAAAATATTACCATCAAAGAAACAGAATTTCTGTTTTTAGATTAAATTAGGTGCTTATAGCATGAGTCATTTTTTTATAGCATGAGTCATTGTTTATGATTGAACACCTTAACTAAATTTTCGATTTACCTTAGAGCTTGATTGTGCTGTATGAGGTTTTCTTCCAAAGCTGGGATACAGGATCTGAAGGACTATTAATCAAAAGAGAGAGATTCAATTTATTCTTTTTAGCTCCAAGGGAGTATACCAAATGCCAGCATGTGGAAGGTCCAAAAAAACACAAAAAACAAAAAACAAGAAAACAAAAACAAACCCCAGCATATCTCTGCTTAATTTAAGGGGAGCTATCTAAAGTTTGAGTTGCCTGGGATAAATTACCTTACATAAGAAGTGAGTTCTCGAACATCAAATGGTTTGATCAAAAAGTAGATACATTCATTCATGTGTCAAATATTTATTAAGTGCCTACTATGTACCAGGTATAGTTATAGGTGCTGGGGATATATCAGTCAACAACACCAACAAGAACAAAACTGGCAAAAATCCCTTTTTTGCCAGTTTTATGGAGAACTATATTCTAGTGCAAAGACACAAACAAGCGTGATAAATAAGTCAATTATGCACATGTTAGAAGATGATAAGTGGTAAGGGGAAAAATAGAACTGGGTAAGGGGGACGTGGCATACTGGGGGAAGGTTTTCAATTTAAAAGGTGACAATGAGAGGAGGCTCCACTGAGAGGTATTGTTTGAAAGATCTTAAGGAGTAAAGGGAATGAGCTATGAGGATCTAATTAGTGAAAGGAAATGGATTAGTAGGAGTCAATTTCACCTCTATCATTTTCACTTCCTATGGTATATTTCAGAATAAGTTTGGAATTTTGGCAAATGAAATCCTATTTATTATTATGGAATAAGAGAAATCACAATGACTTCCTATATTATGTTTAGCAAAAGCTGTTTATACTAACTAATAACATTGTAGAAACTTTGCACTTGAAAAACATGTCTTTTGAAAATTCCAAATTTCAGAAAGGATGTTATACCTTCTGCTGGTATTTCCAAATTTGGTGATTAAAGCAGATAATTAGTATCAGCTTGTTAGAGAACTAGACTGTCATCTAGAGAAAGAGTTGTAAAGAATCTTCACAGAGCATTCAAATGTAGAATTGTACTCTTCAGGATCAGATTGCTTTTTGAAAAAAAGAAAGCCAACAAATACCCAGCCACTTTGATATGAAAAAAATAATGTTTGTCTCTGATAGTGAGCTCTGCAGTGCCAGACAGCCATTTGAAGTATAAAGGGCTTTGACATATGCAGAAGAAAAAGCCAAGAATATCTTCACTGTTAACTTGTAGTCTTGTGTTACAGGCACGCAAAAAGTCCCTTTGGACAGTTGAACCCAATGAAGGCATCATTCCCCCAGAAACTGATGTTCAGCTGACACTGACTGCCAACCTGAATGACATACTGACATTCAAAGACGTGGTCATTTTGGAAATTAAAGATAGCAACACCTATCGGATTCCGGTCCAGGCTTCAGGAATTGGTTCCACCATTATTTCAGATAAGCCCTTTGCTCCAGAGCTCAATTTGGGAGCATATTTTAGGTAGGGAAATATCATAGATGAATGTTCATAGATATCACATGTTATATAAGCCGAACATCACCTCTACTTTAGAAAATTACTTTTAAGTAAATAGCACTAAAGTCCTTAGTCCTTCCCCTTTCCTATCTTCATTTCCCCCCTCCGGATGGGTGCATCAGCCATGAGAAGATACTTCCTAGTCACAGCTTGGTTACATTCTCCAAGCTGTGTCCCTCTACTCTAGAGAAGAGATGGTTCATAGGAAGTGCATTGTTCTCTCAAACTCATAGTGCCTTCTCGGTGACTAACCGAATCTCAACCATGATTTCTCCTGTTTGATTCCAATACACTGTTAATCCCTTTCCACGTATGTGAAAATACAGATGCATGTTAGTGGTAACCTGAGTATAAGTGGGAAAGTAAGCATTTATTGTAAATGTTTCTTATCAGGAACTGCAAAGCTAGTAACTTCTGGTATTATGTGCTCTGCTTGCCTCCTGACTCTAGCACCAACAATCGAGATGGCTGCAGTTGGCTCTACCTGATCACTCAGAAAAAGCTAGAACACCTAAATATTTAAATAAAAGGTGGTAGAGTATAGACACCTCTAGGACAGAATAACCTAAATGTGGCTTTAAAAATGCATGAGGTCTGAATGCTAACAGGGGAGGACATGTGTGGGGATTTATTCACATTCCCCAGAGGAGTCATGCAGCTGCGGGGGCCAGATGAATGTACACCTGTGCATCACAGTAGTGTGACCAGATCTCAAAGGGGCACTCCTGCCTTCTGGTCTGGCAAGCCCTGAAACCAAGGTGGGCACACTGGGTTTAGAGAAGATGCTCCTGATAAAAAACAGTTAGCAGCCCTCCCCGCAAACCCATCCACACCTCCTTTCCTCTGTTCCATCTACAAACCATATCACTTGACTGAAAATACCACAGACCACTAGGAATTATGTTTTCAGAGAAGCATCCATTATAGTTTTTGTGTCAACTAGATATAAAAATGCTCCTTTTTGCCTGCCTATCGACCATGAGGTAGACCATTTTGTCAATGCATTCCATGCTCCTTTTTCCAAATTTCTTTAAGTATACTCAGATATAATTATAGAAACAATATACTGTGAACCAAACTTGATTGTATGTTCTCTGGAATCTACAAATAGAGTCAAATAGCCCCAAAGGATATTCTGTCACTCACCTGTAATTGGGAGGTTTAGCCTATAATTTTCCACAAATATGGAAGCAAACTGTGAATTTTAAGCTGCAATTTCCCCTCTGCCTAAACCTTATCACTCGTTTTGGCATAAATCATGATGCCAGCAATCTCCAAGAGAATCATCCAAAGCAGAGGTGGGTTAACTGCAGCCCATTATTTCTGTAAGTAAAGTCTTACTGCTGCAGTACAGCCATGCCTATTTGTATACATATTTTTATAGGCTGTTTCACATTATAGTGGGCAACTGAGTAGTTGTGACAATGACCATGTGGTCTAAAAAGTCTAAAATATTTATTATTCAGCCCTTTACAGAAAAGTTTGCAAATTGGGGGTCAAATAGGTCTTAAAAAAAACCTATATGCCGCCTCTTTTGATTGCATGTTTTTGGGCAACTCCCTTAAATTTTCAGAGCGTCTGTTTCTTCATCTCTAAAATAAGAGTAAGTATACTTATTATTACTGGGTTGCCATGATGACTGAAAGGTATACTGTAAATAAGTTGCAGAGACCCCGCTTACTTTATAAACAGCCTGTGTTTATATTGTTTTCCCCAAAGCCTCCTCTTAGCCATGAAGTCAAACTACTGACTAAAGACTCCACTGAGCATGCCCTGTGGACACATATCTAGAATGAAATTATTACACCTCACAACTGCAAATTACTCATTAGACATGGTATCATTTTCTAAGGAGGAACAGTTTATACTTTCAAAGCCTAATAAAACTTTTTAAAGTTTAATTCTGAGATGAGTTTTCTCCCTGAAAAAAAAAGTACTTTAAAAGTGTATAAATTGGTAAAAGGAAATCCCAAACAAAAATACATTTGAACCACCTCCAAGATCTTAGAAATCCCAGTGTTTAACAGAGCACTAAACAATCAAGCAGTCCTTAATAACTATTTGGGGAATAGATGAATGAGGAAGTGAAATAGCAGCATCTTTAAAGCAAGTTAGTCTGAGAAAAATGACCAGTCCAGCAGGTGTACTGATCCATTACAGTTCCCTTGAGCTTTGGTAAGGCTTAGAGGATATGTGTCATTTCTATCTGAAGTTCCCTTCAAATTGAGCCCATCACAAGACATTTCCTTCAGTCAGTAGAAATTTACTCAACACAATTTGAAATATGCTTCTCCTCCAGTAGGTATTTTGCTTTTCCTTTTATTCTTCAGAGCCATTTCTTGTAAATTAGAGTGGCTTTCACATAAACTGTGTCTGTCTGTCTGTTCTGCAGCTTGCTTGACCTGCTGGGAAAGACTGGGGATGGGTGGCATCACTTTCCTATGGTCCCTTCCCAGGTGATGACAAGTCAGGAGCCAAACCCAGGTCTCTGACTTGAGTTTATGGACCCTCCGATTAGATGCTACTTTGTCCCATTGCTATGGTAGCTCCTAGCAGCACTATGATGGAGCTTTCCTACATTAAAAATTTTGTTTATTTCATTGTTCCCTTTTAAAATACTTCAAGAGGGGCAAATGGCAAGGGTGTAGAGCTGAACAGAACATCCCGAAGTTGAGTTCTCTCAATACTCGTCTCCTCTTTTCCAGCCTGAACACGTATTACTACAGCTTCAAGTTGACCAACAAGGGACGTCGAGTCCAACAGTTGTTCTGGATGAATGAAAATTTCTGTCCCCCGGACAAGCTGAGCAAGAAGTGTGTGGCTAAGAAGAAACTCGCTAAGAGCCAGCCCCTGTGCCATGGCTCCCAGGCACCCAAGGATTTGCAGAGCCCCGTGTTTCAGCTTCATCCCGTCAGGATGGAGTTGTACCCAGACGAGACGATCGATGTGGTGCTTGAAGGCTACTCTGCTACTCCCAGGGTAAGTGGACAGTATGCTTAGAACCCGCTCTTCTTCTTAATAAATCTTTGCTGTATTTCTTAGGCGAGTTCCTTGGCATTTATCTGAAGAAACGATGTGGTTTCTGAAGGATTGCGTGTAGCCCCGAGTTACCATGGCAGCACTCATTGCTTTTACAGTTTAGCTCTGCTCAGTTTTATGTTTGTTTCTACAGCTACCATGAACCCAGCCTTAAAATGCTAATTAAAGCAGGATCTCATTCCCGGAGTCAGCAGTGACCAGCCAGCAAGTCTCTGGGAGAGGGATATCCAGCATTCAGGCAAAGCTAAGCCTCCGATGAACACTTAGCAGTATTCATATTTATTCCAAAGGGGTGTTTTTATAGACACTCTGGGCTTTTCTGTCCAGGTATTGGGACATCCCCTCCTCCTCTCCTCTCAGTATGACATTAGCCATATCACATTTATAATCATTATCTTTTTATGTATTAATAAAAGAGTGGCATTTATCTTCAGCAACTATGATGATCTTCTCTTATTTACATCATCACCATCCTGCTTAAACATCTATGCAGATCCAAAACATACCTGTTTATTCCTGTTCCCTCATGGAGACTGGAAACCATCAGAAACCTAAAAGAAACTTTTGTAATCGCTTGTGAGCCTCTTCTACCTCACAAATGCAGACTTTGTGAATGAGAACTGGTGCTTGCCTCAGCTCCTCCTGGTGTTGCCAAGTTACGAGGCATGCTGAACTTTCTCCTCGGGAGATAGGAAACAATAAGGAATTTATCTTCCAGCAGACAAGACAGCAAAGCTAGTTCATTGCTTCACTGTGGAGTGAGTATAGAAGGTGGTTTTTCTCTCTGTTTTTCAGGGGTTTGGCCAACTTCTGCTGAGTATGTACCATATGATAAACAGCATATTAGGCACTGAGGATGCAGAGATGAATCCAGTGCAGCCCTCACTTCAAGACACTGGCAGCCTGTTGGAGGAGCGCATTTACAGTGTCATGATTGGGAGCTGACCATATTTGTAAAGGCATTAAATCTGAGCCGCCAGGGTTCTAAATTAAGTTTAAGCTTTACTAAAAGCTTCCCTGAATGTTCTTCCAAATTATGCTACATAATTAAAAAGAGACTTGAATTCATTAACATCTGACCCTGAGCACTCTTCAATAAGGCTAATTGTAATATAAATTCACTTTGGGTCCTTTCTACTTTACATAAATCTGGACCTTGGGGTGGGGGTGGGGAAAGGGAGGCAAAGAAATACTAGTTTCTATAGCACGATTTTTAAATATTCAAATATGAAAGGCAAAAATTTTTCCCAGCCACAGTTCCTGACTAGCTTGATAAGAAACAGAACTACCATTGAACTGTAAGCCCACAAGGATTTTATCTGCCTCATCCATCACTGTTTGGTATGTCCAGTCCCTAATAGCCCTGATGCATAATACACCTTCTATATATATATTTGTTTAACTGAATGTAAATTGATTGTGTCCTCAAAAGCAGTCAGAAAGGGATGCAGGTTCCACGCAGGACATATTTAACCAGATATTAATTGTGTGACAGAGAAGTGATACCTGAAATGCACTATTCAGAAAAATGTACCCTTCCGTAACGTTCCCAGGCAGGTGGTTGAGAATCAGTTTGCCGTTTGTTGAGAATTAAGTCATCTGAGCTGTGGATGTTCTCAAAATGCTGGTGTATCTCATCTGCAGACAGTCAGAGAAAAGCTGGTATGCCATGCCATTGTCGGGGCACAAAAGAGGAAGAGCATGGTGATGACCGTGAATGTCGTCTGTGAGTTTATAGAGCCGCTTATCCAGCTGTCCACCAAGCAGCTCTTGTACCGACTGGAGCAGGTCAGCGGCTGTGCTGGGAAGGGCTGGGTGCTCCACCTGGGGTCAGTGTATTCACATTTTTATTTGAGAAGCTAAGTTAATGGGAAGCCTGATGTACCCCACCCAGCCTATGCTTTTTTAAGCTTCAGAGGCCTGTACACCTTCAACTAAAAATTCTGAATCTAAACCTACATTTCTTTGAAAGGTAAATTGTTACAGAAATTCTATATCCATCATTCCCGATGTATAAGCACACTGAAAATGCACTGTAGTCGATCATTTTACTCTACCTAGATAACATAAATATCACAGTTATAGAAAGGGTTGGACAAGATTATTGATAATCATAATAATCAGTAAGAACAGCTACAACATATTGATTGGTTTGTGCCGGGCACTGAGCCATATTCATTACATACATTTGCCCAGTTTTCCCCTCGCAACAATCTATGCTATAGATTCTGTTATCATTCCCATGATATATGTAAGGAAACCAAGATACAAGTTAAGCAATTATGTAGACCACCTACCACTGAGAATAATCAACGAACTATTTGATTCACACTCTTAAACTATATGGCTACACATGTCCATGACTTTATATGGCCATTAAGGGCAAGCAATAAATGGGCAGCAGGGGACAGGGGAGAGGTGGGAATGACTGCTGCTCAGGGCAGGGGGTCAGAATAGTGAGAAGGTGTGGGAGGTACCACAGTAGGACTTGACCTATTTCTCAAAACAGACTCCCATTTAACATTCAAAACAGATATGTATGGGATGTCTCTTCTGGACTGAGCTTGTGTTGGTGCTTGACAATCTGGTGAACCAGTGAGGCATAATTAAAGCTAAGAGATTGGTTGAGGTTACAACTGTAAACAAATTTTTAAAATTTAGTTGTTTAAATTACACTTTTAAACAGTACGATGAAGAAGAGGTACAGGTTGCTATGAGAGCGCATATCAGGACAGTGGCTTTCTTTGTACCTGTGGTGACAGATAGCTTCCTTGGGCAAGTGCCTCAGGTTGAGACTTGAAGAAAAAATGAAGTTAGTCTGGTGACAAGAGAGAGGGAGAGAATGATAGGCAGCAGGAACAGCACACACAAAGGGCCTGAGTTAGGAAAGAGCATGGTGAGCACAAAGACCTGAAAAGCTGCCTCAGAGAATATGCCAGGATGGCATGAGGTCCATCTAGAAGAGTGGGCAAGGGCCAATGAATGTGGCATGACTGGGAGGCATGTTCTGGATGGCCATTGGTGGGCTTCAGGGAGGGGAGTGACATGGTCAGATATATTTATTGAAACAGTCATGCTGTCTGCTGAGTGAAATACTTATTAAGACCTACCATGTGCCAAGCACTGTGTTGGGTGCTAGGGATACAACAGTGAGAATAGTCCCTCCTTGATGAACCACACAGCTGACGGGGAAGACCAAGCATTAAGTAAGTCTTTGTCTCAGTGTGATCTCTGTTGTCCTATAAAAGGACAGGGTGTGTCAGTGCCTAATCAGTCAGGGCGGGACTCAGCCAGGGTTCCTTTCATTACCTGGAGACTTGTGCGAGAATTTATTCTGGTAATGGGTTCCATCCTATTTTGTTTGTATTAAATAAATATCTATTGGGCACCCACCGTGGGTGTGATGCTCTGCTAGGAGATGAAAAAACGGGCATATAGTCGAGGAGAGGAGGGGAGTTTAAATCAACAAATAACTTTTGAGCACTTAAGTGTATGAGGCAGCAAAAGCACAGCAGGCTTCACAGACTACTGGGGAAAGCAGACAATGAAGAATAGAATAGGGGTTTCAGTTACAGGATGTCAAACTAACTGTGACAAGCTCCATGAGACATAAAAAGAAAATACTAGAGGAGTTCCTGCTACAGTTTTTGAGCTTTCATTGCTCTGTTTTGAATTTTCCCTTTTATAAGTAATCAGGAAAGAGATGTACTAGTGTCATCATATTTTCTCTAAATGTAGCTATTGAGAGAAAATTCAGTGAATATTTACTGAATAATTATTCAATATAAGAAATTATAGCATATGTTAAATATATACCTTTGTATCTTATTAGATTTTTTCTAAGCCTGTAAACATTTATTAAAATGTATGGATTGTGTTCTTTTTTTTTCTCTTTAAATCCTTTAGCCTTATTTTTTTAAAAGCATATTGTTGTTTAAGTTATTTTTGTCTTTATCACTAGAATGAAATAGCAAATATTTTAATGTAGAAATGACTTATTGAATTAAAAAATGAATTGGGTCACAGCTCCGTGTTTGATTTTACCCTTCTCTCCTTCCCCTCCTTCAAATATCATGAGTTTGAAATCTGCCCAGCTACTGTTATTTTTCATTGTTCATTTCCTGCTCACATTTAATCCATAGCAGGGACAATGAAGAATTGCAACTTCATTACCCAGTACGTGCAAGAGACCTGGTAGGTCTCGGTATTCAGATTTACTTATGTAACACCCAATTATCTATTCTGTCTCCTTATTTTCAGCTCAAGGCAGTATATCTGATTTAGTGCATTAGACTATAATGACACCAGCACTGCCTGTGGGAAGAATTTTTCTGTGACTGTTTCCTCAGATTTGATCTACTTTATAACTATTGTACCATTCATAAGCCACAGAGATGAAACCACATCTTTGTGGAATTGAAAAGGTCAATTGAAACGAGCAGCCAGTTTGCTTCATGAAGTCCAGAAGCAAATCCTATCTCCTGATATTTGGGGAGACAAACAACACAGAGAGAAAGGGGTCATTTTAAAATAGAACAGATTCTCTGTGCATCAACTCCTCCTCATCACTAACCTCTAAATGGCCTCTTGCCAAAACCAGCCAAGTGTGGCTTCTTCACTTCAAAACTACCTGCAGTGACACAGCAGCCTGGGGCAAGGTCACTGGGTGGACAGTTCTCTGTATGGCCTTTAATAGTCCTAAAGTGCTGCTTCACCCTTGCCCCAAACTACAGTATATAATCTGCAAATGCAAGGTAAGTCCCGTACCTGTATTGCCATGTTGGAGGGAGGGAAGAAACAATGGTTGGCATCTCATGGCAAATGTCAGACGAAACCCCTGCACAGGGGCCTGGGGAACACAGTCGAAGCAGGAGATTCAAGCCAGCTGTCTGGACTAAATGGGTGTCTCCCCACATTCATATGTTGAAGCTCTAATCCCCAGTGTGATGATGTTGGAGGTAGAGCCTTTGGGAGGTGATGACGTCATGATGGTGGGGCCTTCATGAATGGGATTAGTGTTCTTAGAAGAAGAGACAAGAGAGATGAAGTCTCTCTCAGTCCTATAAGAACACAGTGAGAAGACAGCCATCTACAAGTCAGGAAGCAGGCCCTCAGACACCAGACCGGCTGGCGCCATGACCTGGGACTTCCCGGTCTCCAGAACCATGAGACATACATGTCTTTGTTTAAACAACCAAATAAGTCAGTTTATATTTTTTTTATAGCAGCCTCAACTAAGGCACAAAGGACCCTGGTCACATGAGTTCACCCAGAGCCAGGATGCCTAAGAACTACAGTGGAAAGAAGACTATACTGGTCTGAAAAAGCAGAGACAAATTCAGATGAAAATGTGGAATCAGGGGGATTTAACTGAAATCAGAACAAGGAGAAAAAGCAAATCAAAACAAAGACACTGAGGAAAACAAACTAGAATTGTTAGAGGAGCCAGGAAATGATTGGAAGGAGGATCTCTTTGGAAGCTATGGATTGAGACTTCACGTCACCTGCTAATATTAAAGGACCCAGGGCATGCAAAGAACAATGTGGATCCCAACATAAGAATGAGCAAAATCCAGTCTGACCAGAAACGTGTGGCTCAGGATCCATTTCTAATGCCTTCTCCAGTTGAAAAATTAAATTTGATGTTATAACAGAGTAAAAAGATGCTTCTAAATCATCTATCCAGTGTTATCAGGAAAAATTTAGAGGAAATAATTAGGAGCATTTGTCAATTTAACAAGAAAAGTATGTTGGCAAACTGAGTACTTTGAGCATGGGAAAATATTATAAAAGGAAAAAAGTTTTATTCATTGTATAGTGATACATGGGTTCTTCCACATATATCAGTAATTTATTAGAGTTTGTTTTATGATATTATGGAAACTTCTGTAGTAATAGTTCTATCCAGAGGCATGGCTTGTATAGGTTTTTAAAATTTTTTTTAACCAGGCAACAGCAAAGTAAGAAATCTAATCTGTTTTCTCACTTAGGTAGTTTCACCTCTCAGTAGTCCACCATACATTCCAAATGACTTATCTAAATCTCTACAAGGGGAAAAAACAGTGTGTGTGTGTGTGTGTGTGTGTGTGTGTGTGTGTGTATGACCTTTGTTCCTAAAGACTTACTATGTTTGTCATAACTTGGTTTGTTTCCTCGTTTCCCTTTTATTGCAGAAACCAAACACTATCTTGAAACCTGATTACCAGCCCTTGGTCATGAAGAACATTTCCACTCTGCCTGTGAACGTGTTGCTCTCAACAAGCAGACCCTTCTTTATCTGTGAGACTGATAAATCTCTGCTGCCCTTAACTCCTGAGGTAACTTGACAGAGGATTGTCCTAACAAGCTCCTGAGGGGAGGGGTTGTATGTGTGGGAAAGAAAGAGAATAATGTCACTACCCTAACTAATTTCAGTTCAGAAAAATATAATGAGGAAAGAGTGCAGAAAATTTTAAATGAGTCCTAAATAAATTCCAGTATCAATCAGTAGAAAAACTACTATTAATGGTGTAAGAACTTCTCGCTCATTATGATGACCCTTTCATTATAGTGAAGCTAATCTTTAGAAAACAGTGACGTCACTAATATTAAATACCTTTTAATTCCCTACCTTCAAATCCAATCAAAACTCAATACTCAAGGACAGAAGAAAATGGCCAAACCTAGTCTTTAAACCAAACAGCTTATCTCCAGATGCTGAGAAATCTGAGTGGGCTGAAGGAGGAGGCATGAGCTCTCTGGCCCCTAGTCTGAGGCAGGATGCAATGTTCTCTGCACATCCCTGTGATCCTTTGCTGGGCATGAGGACACCAGTAAGAATAGCTGGGCCATGGGCCAAGGGTCATGGTAGGGTTGTAGGAAAGGAGGATTGAAGAGAAACCAGAGCCACGCACCATCAGCCAACGGAGAAGTGGGGTAAAGGAGCAAGGCAGGGCAGGCAACAATCAGGAGATTTCAGAAGAGGGAGTCCTTAACTTAAGGAGGTTTTCTGTGAGCTGCTCTCAGGAAGATGGATCTTCGGGGGAGAGGGCAGGGATCAGAGCTGCTTGGTGAGAGGGTGTTGCAGACAGAACCTGACTTATTGCTGTAAACTACATTGCTGCCCCCCACCCCCCACCAATTCTTTAGTGGGTCTCATTCAAGCATGAGCTGGAAATAAACCAGCTAAGATCCTGAAACAGAGAAATAAAAAAGAGGAAATGATCATATAGCAAGAGGCAAATGAAAATCTACGACAAGGAGACCTAGGTAAGGAAGAAGACCAAAAGTATAAACATGTAGCTCTCTACAGTCTCAAAGTAGTTACAGATGATATGATCTGTGTTTAAAAAGAGCTCCAGGATGAGAGATGAACTGTTCAAAGAGAGATGAAGAGTGAACTCAGAGAGCTGAGGAAAGCCAATGAATAAGAAAATGAAAATTCAGACATGAGCAGCTTTCTCATTCTGGGTGGTAGATTAGACCCACTCTTGTCCTCATGAAATCTTAAGAAGGTAAAAGTGGAATGTTCAAAAGGAAAGAAGCACAGAGCAATAAAATAAAGGAGGAAGAGGATGGTTTAACCAAATGTTGAGAGATTTAAACAAATTCTAGACATTAGAATGAGATTGTAGTGTGTTGACAAAAAGGCACAAAAACCTGCAACCTAGAAATTCTCCAATGAGGCTGCAAACATGGGGAGTCATTCAGCCCAAGTAGCCTGAGCTCAGAGACAACAAGTGTGAGCAGAGTTTTGAAAATATAGAGATTCTATGGGCACCAGACAGCTGTCCCACCCGACCCCACACAAAAGACATGGGCAGCTGACTTTTATCCAAGACATAAAGATAAGTGCTGTATGCCAGAGAAATCAATCAACCTGTTTGGGGAATGTTAGTGTTTCTGGTGTCAGTGTCTGCACCCCAGAGTAATCTCAGGCACCTGGGATGTGTCCACCGCCCGATCCCTCCCTCTCCACCCCAGGAAACTCTTCTGTAGAGCAGTCCTGTTACAAAGTTTGAGAAATGACGGCCTCCATCCGGAGTGCTGGGATGCCAGGGTCAGTCAGGAACGACTGTGTCTTGTAATAACTTGTGGTATAGTTTGAACTTTTTATATTATTGCATGTACAACTATAATAAAAATATACATATAATTTTTAAAAATAAAGAGCTTCTGTAAAACAACAAGAAAAATGCCATAACCCAAAAGAAAAATAGGCAAGGAAAATGAATAGAGTTCAAAAAAAGAAAAATAAAATGGCCCTTAAGTATATGAAAATATGCTCAATATTAATTATATTAGAAGAAATGCAGATTAAATTACTACAAAACACATTTTTTCCCCTATCAGATTGTCAAAGAGCAAAAATTGGATAACGCTTTTTATTAGGAAGGGCATGTGGAAGCATGGATTCCCTTACAGTGTTGGTGACATGCACATTCGGAGACATTATGGCAGCAGCTGTCAGAATTTTAAAGGCCCATCCCATTGACATAGTCATTCCACTCTGAGGGATGTGCCCTACAGACATAGTCAAGATGGCATATGTACAAGGATATTCATTGCAGCACTGATTGTAAGAGTAGAAGACTGGAAGCAAATATTCATCAAAAGGAGACTAGTTAAACAAATAATGGCAGAATTATATGATGGAATAAAATGCAGCTATTAAAAAGAATAAGACAGCTCCATGTGCACTGATGAGTGATCCCCCTACAGGGGTTGGGGGGGAGCAAGGTACAGAACGAGAGTGCATGGTATGCTATCGCATGTGCGAAAAATAAAAGAATACAGATGCAAATGTGATTTTGTATGTGTATAATAGCTCCACAAAGACAGAGAAAACACTTGCAACCTTGGTTACTTCAGGGAAGAGGAATAGTTAGCTTGGGTAAGAGAGAGGTAGGCACAAAAGTTACTTGCTTTTCATTGTTCTATTTGAAAATACAAATGAAATATTTTGTAAAGATTTAAAAAAATAAGGCCACACATTATCCTGGGAAAGATGATATAGAATATTCAACAGTGAGACATATCTTAGTTAAATTACTGGTCTTACTGATAACCGGAAAACCCCATAGTATCAGAGCAGAAAAGAAGAGACCCCCATCAGGGGAAGATTTTAGACTAACCTTGGAATTCCCCACAGTAATACTCAATGGCAGATGACAATGGGGCAATGCTACAGAGTTTTGAGAGAAAGAAAGCGTGACCCAACCATTTTATAACTAGTCAAGTTGTTCTTTGGGTATAAAGGCAACAGGCAGACATTCTCAGAACACAAGGACTCAATGAATACAGCACTCACACACTGTTGTTGAAAAACCGATTGGCCGATGAAATACGGTTGTTCAGAAGAACCAAGTAAGGTACTCAGGGAAAAAGAAAAAAAAAACTGTGAGAGAAAGACTGGCAGGACTGAGTCCATGTAACTCAACAACTGAGACTAAACAACATTGGCAGTTATGATTTCAGAACAGAATGTTTTATACCTCAGTTTTTAATAACTAATGCTATAACCAATAACAACTGGGAGCTGGGGTAAGCATAGCATGCTGACTTCATCCCCTTCACAACTGGGTGTCAGTAGGTACTGTGTAAAGATGAAACTGCTTAATATTTAACCATCCTTTTTCTTGATCATAAAGGGATAATAGTAATAACTGATATTTATATACCATAAGCCCTACTCTGAAGACATCACAAGTATATTAACTCATTTCATTCTCAAAAAATAGGTCCTATTATTGGCCCTATTTTACAAATGGAGAAATTGAGGACTAGGAAAAAGGACTCATGGACATGGACAACAGTGTGGTGATTGCTAGGGGGCGGGGGGTATAAAGGGACTAAATGTAATGGGAAAAAAAACCCAATAAAGATTAAATTTAAAAAAGAAGAAGAAGAAGAAACTGAAGGCTAGGAAAACCAACTAACTTTGCCCAAATTCATAGAGCTAGTGACAGGAAGTCCGGGGTTTGAACCCAAGTAGTCCAGCTCCAGAGTCCATGATTTTAGGATTAATATCTTTTGTATAAAAAGGTGTTTTTTTTTTTTCAGGTTTTTTCTGAGAAAAATTTCAAACATGTTATTTTAAAATAAATTAGTCTACCTCAATTTCTATAAAATTTTATTTAGCCATCCATCATGTATCAAATATGAACTCTGAAAAGTAATATATAGTAAAATTTTGGATGTTTCTAATTTCTTCTTCATGCAGTTATATATAATGTAAAATTTTGTAGATATGTATTTTTTCCACAAAACAAGAAATTATTTCCCCAGGAAAAAAATATTTAAGTCAATCTTCAAAGATTTTAAACACCAAGTATTGTGATTCTAAGTGCTGCAGATGCCATGATCTACAAGAGTGGGTTCTAAATTGTGCCCAGACAGCTGTGCCAAGTGGCCAGCTAGGCTTTCAGATGGGATTAGCCATCTGAAGAGTCATTACCTTCTTTGACTCTTAAATCAGGTGATCAGTCCTATCAACTGAAACCATCTAATCATGGCACTCACGTACAGTTAAATACCTGAACCTTAAAAGTCAGTGGACAGGGGAGCGCTCCGTAAACAGATCCGGTCCTCTGTGTGTCCCTGCTGACTGCCTCCAGGTGCTTTCTGCAGAGCCAGGAGGTGGCTTTTATGCCAGTTAAATGTGGGAATTGAGCAAATCCTTAAAAAACAGCAACTCATAGCCAGGCTTCCTTTGGGAAGGTGTTACTGTGGCCTTGGCTTTGAGGAACACATGGGGATTTGAATCAAAGAGAGAAAAAGAGCAAACAAAATCTACCCAACAAACTCTGTACAGCTCTGGAGTGTCATTTTAAGTTGAATAGAAAACAGTGGAAAGTAGATAACACTGTGCTGAAGAGTTAGAATCATAGACATTAGAAAAGAAATTAAATCACCTAATCCATCTCTTTCTTGGTCATCCTCCACAGAGCCCCTCCACCAGTGCTTCAGAAAGCCCTTTTGAAATTTCTTAAGTAAAGAGCTTTTCCCACTTGTCTAGGGAGAGAATTTTACAATCTAATTTATTTTCCATTAAGAATATTTTTATAATAGCTATTTATTGTAGATTTTTCTTTTTACAGCTCCTCAATCTTTATCACCTCACAACTCTTGTCAAAATCTCTTCCTTCAAATGATTTCTCTCCAGATTTTTCTTGCTTTCATTTTCAACTAATAAAATATGTGTGTGCAAACGTATAAATACCTGTAATATCAGTAAGTATGGATAGCTATAGATATTGAAGTTGATATACTAGCTATTATATGTAAGTATAGATACCTAATTGTGGATAAAGCATAGTATATATGTATTTCATAGTAATATGTATGTATGTATGTATCTGTGCGTGTACATAAATATATTTAAGTAACTTTGGCTGTCCTGTTTCATGTATCAGGTTGGAAATCCATAGCACAAAAGTTGACAATTTCCCATTATTTTGTTTTCAGCCTATTAAACTGGAGATTGGTGAAGAAAAAAGTCTGCTGATCAAATTTGACCCTTTCCACAGACACGATCTAAACAACTGGGTGGCTGAAGAAACTCTAGCAATCCAGTATCTGGAGCACCCGCAAGTAGACAGCCTGACCCTGCGTGGGGAAGTACATTACCCCAACCTCAGCTTTGAGACCATGGAACTGGATTTTGGGTGTATTCTGAACGATACTGAGGTGATCCGCTACGTTACAGTCACCAACTGCAGCCCATTGGTTGTGAAGTTCCGCTGGTTCTTCCCGGCGAACAGTGAGGAAAATCAAATAAGGTACCACCAGCATAGCTATCCTGTAGAGCTCTTCTCTGCTGTTCATTCTTTTTCTCCTTCAGGCTTTGCACTGGGTTCGTATAGTCTGTGCACTCGTCTTTCATGAATACTTTTGGTTCTGACAACTAATTATTAACAAAAATAACAAAGAGCCTAAACTCATGATCCCTCCTTGATTTCAAAGCAAGAAAAACATAAAACATCTTTAAAAGCCCCAGTTGCCACCAGATTAACAGAGCAATATCCATAAGCCTGCTTTAATTTTGAATCTAGTGATTAGATCATTGTGAATTTTTCACTAAAAAATAAAGTCTTTGAACAGCTTTCTTAATAATAATTTTGAACCCAAAGGATGAATTATATAACACAATACACTGAATATATGCTGCATTGAGCTCCATGTTCTGCATATCTCAGTGGGTTTCATTCTGGTGTATGTGCGCGCGCACGCACACACAGACACACACACACACAAAATGGTGGGAGGTGATGAGTGCTAAGAGGGGAAAGCTAGTTTCACAATATTTGTATTTAGAGGTATCTCCCCTATTCAATCGAATTTAAGTTCAATTAGAAGTTAAATCCATATAAAGAGCCCGTTTTAGTCAGGCCTCAGGAACATTTTCATCTGGGTCAAGCCTAACTGGCACACAGGGCCAACGGGCTTCTACATATTTCTTTTTTGGATGTTTTGACAGCTCAGTTTTCAGTCCTGAATGTTGACTGGCTGTGTTTAACTGAGGAAGCCTCATGGTAGTGCTTCCTGTACACAATCCTCATCTTGTATGTGACAACCACCCTTTCCTTTTCAGCACTTGTCACCACGGTAATGGTGGCTTGCTCTGAGTGTTTTCTTTAGACATGTAAGGACAACTGAACATAGCACTAAAGCCAGGCCTGGGCATGAGCAAGGGAACCTGATCTTTAGGTGTCAAGGACTGTTTTGGTTTGAAATGAAATTCTGTAGAGGATGATCATTTAAATTAATTATGGAAAAACCAGCCAACCTGACCTAATGAGCTTCGAATACCAGATTCTGTGAAGTTATTCTGATGTAACATAACTAAATGAGTTCATTCCATCTGGGAGCAAAGGATACGCTTTATTTTTTTTTTTTTTTTATTGTTGAGAGGCCATTTCCATAATTAAGATAATGACATTTTGAAAATGTACTTGGCCAATACTGGAGATGATACACTCAATTTTTTTTTATTGGTTTAAGCATTCATTTAACCATTCTTTTACTTGCTTCAGTATCTGCCTATATTTCGATATTGAGCCTCTGCTTTTAATTCATTTTTATTCATTCATTCATTCATTCATTCATTCAAAGAGTCATTGAGAAAACACTGGTAAGTGGTTCTTATGCACCAGAAAATGTGTGAGACATCAGGGATACAAGAGTGAATAAGGCATGATGATCCCTGGCCTGAGGCTGCTGGGGAACCGTATGTGTAAACCACAGGAGGCAGGTGGTAATGCCGGGCTCTGAGGGACGACAGAGCGGGGGTGACTGCTCAGAGGAGCTTGGCGGAGGCTGCACTTAGAAGCACAGTTAAGTGTTCCAGATGGATAAGCAGGGACACATTCTAAGTAACAAGAATAGTATGTTTATATTAGTTAGGATTCATGGATTCAATTCTATGCAAGTGACAGGAAACCTGACCCTAAACAAAAATAAAAAGGAAAGGACATTCATTGTTTCCCACAACTCAAAAGTCCAGATTCATTCTGGTTTCTGGCCTGGCTTAACACAAGGACTCAAACAGTGTCACCGAAGTTGGGGTCTCTGCTCTCTTCCATGTGTTAGCCATATTCTCAGATCAGCTCTTCCCCCATGGCGGCCAGATGGCTACCTTAACTCCTGGGCCATGGCCTGGCGGATTCTGATCCACTGGAAAAGAACATGAGCCTTTGTCCCAGAACTTCAATGAGATTCACTCTGATCAGTCCAGCTTAATCACGTTACCTGTGCCCTCCCTCAACCAGTCACTTTTAGGGGAAGGCAAAGCATTGTCCTGGCCACGTGCCCTACACCACGTGCAGTGGTGACCTCAGAACCCCATGGACTGAAGGGCATAGGAGTGGGGCAGATCTCCCGACACAAACTGGAATATGAGGGAATGAATACTGGAGAGACACATGACACCACCTACCAGTGTGGACAGGGGCTGTGCTAGCAAGGCTACAACACAGACTTAATGGTAGAGGAGAAGTCAGGGAAATGAGCCTGGGAGGTGGAGTGGCAGTGGTGTGTGAGAGGCCTGGTATTTCACGATAAGGAGTTTAGACTTTCTCAGAGGCAGTGGAGAGAGTTGTAATCAAGAGAGTGACAAGAGTCCGTTTTTTTCAGAAGGATAACTTTTGGCAGCATTCTGCACAGTTGTTCTATCCCTCCTTTCTAAAACATGTTTTTTTCTTGGCTTCTTTAACACCGTACTCTCCTATTTCCCCCCGTCCTCTCCTCAGTTCTCAGCCAGCAGCCACTCCACTGGACTAGCAGGATGCAGGGCTCCCTCCTGGCTCCATGCTCTTCCTGACGATCGCACTTACCCCACAGCTTCACGCAGTTCCTGCTGCTGAAGCTTACCTGTCTCTCTCCACCCAGACCCCTCTGCTGAGTTCCCGTTGCGTCACCTTCTTGACCTCTCCTCCTGGATGTCGCCCAGGTGACTTACACCCAACATGCCCTACACTAAACTCAGGCTCTCCCTTTGTCTTCTCTCTGCCCCTCCTCTAGGGCCCCCTGTCCCAGTAATGACACCGCTGTCCTGGAAGTCATCCAGCTTCCTTCCTCTCCCTAACCCCACCCACTGGATTCATCAAATCCATCACCAAGTTCAACCTATTCCTCCGTCTAAAAACCTCTGTCTCCCACTTCCACAGTGTTACTGTAGTTCATGTTACCATGGTCTCTTGTCTGGACCATTGGGGAAAACCCTTCACTGGGCTCTCTGCTATCATTCATGCACCATAGTCCATCATTTACACAGCAGCCAAGTGACAAGCTTGGGCTTTTGGCCTTCAGTGACACCCATGCTTCTTAGGATAAAGCACAAAATACTTACTGTGTTCTGGAGAGCTCAGCCAGGGCCAGCCCCTGCATTTCCTTCTGGTTTCTTCTCACCTAACTCTGCCCTCTCCACACCGACCTCCCATGCTGGCCTCTTTCCTGTCCAGTGCTGTTCCTATCTAGCTGCTCCCTCTCTGCTGGAAACTCTTCCCCACTCTCCACATAGCTAGCCCTGCTTCCCCCATCCTGTCTCACTTAAACATCCTTCCCCAGGGAAGCCTTCTCGGAGACCCTGTCCTAGACAAGAGCCCCTATCATAGGCACCAGTAGCCCATCTCTGGGGGGACTTGCCACATTTTTAATAATGGCTCTCTATCCAACCTCCCACCTGGCTCTTCATACCCATGAGACCAGCGAGCACGTCTCTCCTGCTGCTTGTGGGTCCCAGAGCCCAGCATGGTCGTTAGCACAGAGTCATTCCTCAAAGGGCGTTTTTTTAATCAACTGCTCCCATTACTATTTGTACTGAGAGGAGAATCGTTTCATAACTGGTTTAAGGTTCTTTTCTGTCAGCTTCCTGGCACCTGCCAAATGGAAAGGTTCAAGGCATAATGTCACCTTGAATAGCAAAAAGAAAAAATGCCACTTACCCTCCAGATAGGCCCTCTCTGTGCAGGCCGTCAGAAAAACATAAAGCACTCATTGGCTAAAGGTCACTTTTATCAGATATACCAACACTCACCTTTTTTTCCAATTAGAATTCTTCTAAGCCTTACAGTTAGTAAAAGAAACAAAAGGATAAAAGAAGCTTTTCTTTTTCTTTTATTAGGCAGGATGTGATGATGCCTAGACACTCAACATTCCTTCTTGTCATAACGCCCATGTATCTGCTGTATGTATATGTGTGAATGTGCATATGTGTGTGGGGAGCCCACGTGTGCGTGTGGGACTGAGTGCGTGTGTATGTGTGTGTGATTTTGTAGGCACTTCTGACTCATACATTTAAAAAATCTCTCTTGTTTGAGTATTGTTTTCCAAGTTGGCCCTCATATCACATATAAGGGCAAAAACAGAAGTATAATGGACAAGTATGCTAACTGAGCATCCTATAAGAGGAAAAGCCAGTTACTGGCTTAGAACCATGCTCGTCCATGTGCGTCCATGTATATGACAGCATTCTAGACCGACTTTGGTGGATGACAATCTGCTGCTCACACATACACATGTAGCTAGAAGCTGAGATGACACACAAGGGCTGAGCATCCACGCTGGCATAGCCAGTATGTAGAAATATGCCCTTTATTGGCTCTGTCTCTGCAGCCTGACTGCTCAGCTGGATGAGAACATGATGCATCATGGCATCTATTTGAAAGAGGAGCACAAGGAAGCCCACACTTGAACCAGCCTTTACTTCTAAGAGGCCAGAGAGAGCCAACCAGACACTGGCTTGGCTGGTGTCCCCGCTCAGGCTCAGAGCTGCAAAGCTGAGGTGAGATGCTAGAACTTAGAGTACATGAGCCAAGAGGTCCCTAAGGACAGCTTTGCCTTTTTCCCAAATCAGATTATAAATACATCTAATACGAGGGCCTAAGGGAGCTCAGCCCTGGAGCAAAAGAACATGTGTTACTCTCACATTGATTTTTCTGTGATGAGCATAAGTTGTTCAGTATTGTGATTAGAAGAAGAGAATGGGAGGGCTGGAAGTGGGGTGGAGGAAGCCTCATTTTCTGGATGCTTCCCTCTGTCTCCTCATCATCCCTCAACTTCTTGAAAGTGAAACTTTTCTAAGACATAATATATTCATGGTAGTTGAGGTCCTGGGCTGTGGTTGGACGTGGCTGGTTAAAATCCAAGCTCTGTCCTTTTGTGCCTGGGTTTACTCAACTGTAAAATGGAGATAATGTAGAAACCTAAAAGAGTTGTTGTGAAGATTAAATGAGAGGTGTCTGAAAAGTGCATATGGCTCCAAGATAGGAAGGAAAATCTG